GCTACGACCATCCCCATTCAGGGACTATGATCCCAGGCAATCCCGGATGGCTCTGAGTAATAAGCCTATTGGGAAACACCCGAACTTAAAAGGCTACAGTCGTCCTAGAACAGCTTGGAGACATCTGAGATCCGTAACCAAAACATAAGGCCTTCAAAATTTCTAAACCAGTTATAAGGCTACCCTCGGCAAAATTATGATCTAAAAAATTCTAAGTAAACACTTCGGGTAAAGCTTCCGGTCATACTAAGCCCCCACGAGTCTTAAGCAAAATAATATCAAGAATGAGCATTGTTCGAGCCTCCGAACAAGACCTAATTATTACGTGCTAAGGCATTCAAAATCTTTGCGATCGTAAAGAAAAAAGCAAAAAGAAACAAGCTTGAAATTTGTCGAAGGGAAAAAGCCTTGTATATATACATAAAAGTTTATAAAGGCCAAACAACCTCAAACAAAATACTAAAGTACAAAAGAGAAGAAAAATCTACAAGGCACCTAAGAAGCCTGATCTTCGCCGAAGCCCGCCTCATCACCAGAACCATCGGGGTCTTCCCCGTCCTCGGATCCGCCCGAACCCTCAGCTTCCTCTTCCTCGGGGTACGCTAACATTTTGGCCTCAGCCTCGAGCCTCTTAACATTTTCAATCTCGGCCGATAAATCGAACCCTCGAGCATGAACTTCCTCAAAAGCCTCTCTCCGGGACTGCCACCTCACATATTTGACGATGGCTTTCAGGCATTCCTGAGCTGCCTCAGCATCATCTTTGTACTGGGCCACCAGTTTTTCAGCGTCGGCCTTGGTTAATTTCGCCGCTGACTTGGCTGCTTCAAGATCCTTGGCAAGGGTATCCTGTGCGACAATGACCGAGCCCAGGCGAGACTGGAGGTCTTCGATTTTTTGGGACCAGATTTCAGCTTTCTCCTTCACCGATCAAAGTTGGGCCTCCGCCGAGGCCAGCTGCTCTCGAACAGTTTCCATTTCCGAAGCCAATCGGTCCATATTGACCTTCCACTCTTCGGCCATGGCTTTGACTTTGTCAATATCAGCCTAGAGCTGGTCGACCCGATCAACCTTTTGCTGAACATGCAGATTCTGACCATTAGACACCTTGTATGGCTCATCATCACTAACTTCAAAGATTTTTACCTGTTCCAAGAGGTCGGCGTGTTCTTTTTGAGCCGCGTCCAACTCGGCTTGGTGACTTCTGACTTCTCCTTCACGTTGCTCGCTAAGAAGCTTATACATGCCTCTCTTCTCAGCAAGCTCTTTGACTTCGGCCTCGAGCTGGCTCAGCTCATCTCGGTACCGGAGGAAGGTTTCATGGTGGAGCTCCGAGGCCTGCAAATATGAGAAGAGATATTAGAATCACCAAAAACTAATTCTAATATTAGAAGAGACATTAGAATTATCAAGAATTACCCGGCTCAACGCCTGTTGTGCTTCGTTGAACAGGCATGGCGTATCTACCTCGTTCATTTTTGCCTGGTCTTTTTGGTTACCAGGCACCGGAGGTAACTAGCTATCCCTACGGGGGAATAAAGAATCCAGGCATCCTCCGGAACGGTGATAACGACGGACCACTTTCGAGCAGGATCTGTGCTCGGCATGACGAATCGATTGATTAATCTCGGGCTCAAGCTCGTGCCACCAGCCTCTGAGGGTGGACTTTTCCTTGGCACCTCTAAGTCACCCAATCCGGTGAAATCCTCCGGGCCCGATGAGTCTTCATCATCAAAAAAACCTTGGAGGGGATCATCCACTCCATAGACCCCTTCATGGGATCACTCCTTTGTCGTTCGGGCTACATCAAACATTGATTTTGTGAATGAAGGCGCCCCGAAATATCTATAACCCCTTACTTTGGCATCAGTCTCGCAAACTTAAGGGGGATTAGCCTCCGTTATTTCCTCATCGGCTGCCACCCATTCCTCGGGGGCAGACGGCTCATGGACCATAAAGACTTCATCCTTCTCGGGCTCGTCTCTCAGCCGGATGAGTGATTCCGAGTAAAGCACTCGGGAGATGGAGGTTTCCTTTGTCTTACGAACCGACCTCTTTCTCATTTTCTTTTTCTCTGAGCTCGGGGAACTCGAGGCCCTTTTCCTTTTCTTCTCCCCTGATGTGGCTCCGGTAAGTCCTCACCCCCAATCGGGGTCCTAAGCTTGACGGTCTTAGAAAAACCTGCAAAAGAGAAGTAAAGAAAAAATAATAAGAACGTAATGCTAAGAGAAGAAGCCTAACACAACCTACTCGGGAAAGGAAGCTTACCATGGGAACAACCCTTTGAGAGTTTGCACCACGAGCGCTCGGAGTAGGGAATCTATGAGAGAATACCTTCGACCCACTCCTTGAGTCGGGGGACATTGTTTGGGACTCGAACGACAGTTGCACCACTACGAATACCGGAGAAAAAGAGAGGTGAACACAAAATCAACATTCAGGGGAAAGTTTTATTTACGTGATGCATTCCACTTCTCAGGAAATGGTCTGAATTCAGTCGAGATCAAATCTGAGGTACTCACCGGACAAAAAGACCCTGCCAGCCTCGATCCTGGTCCGTCGATGCTCGAAAATGGGACTTTTCTAGCCCTACGTACAAGTTTTATCAGTCCTCCTGAAAGGTTTGGGGACTGTGTAAACGGAGCATATGACCGATGGTGAAGGTGCACGAATCAATTTTATTCACAAAATATTGGAGGAGGATCACGATCCTCCACAGTGAAGGGTGAATTTGGCCGAGGCATACGTTATACCTCCTGTAGAAGTCTAAGATGACTGAGTCCATTGGGCCCAATGTAAAGGGATAAGGGTAAACACTCAGATATCCCTCGACATTGGTGGTAATGGCCTCTTCGGAGTCGGGGACCACGATGTCCTTGTGAGCCCAGTTGCAATATTTTTGGACCGTGGGGAGGTCCTCTTTGGTGATTGAGCAAATGTATCTCGAGGCATCCTCACGCTGACCTTGTACCGAAGAAGGTTTCTCGACCTTGAAGTGGTCAGCGATCGAACAACCCCCGAGAATGAACATCTTCAAGGGAGGTTCAGGAGTCGGTTCATCGGTAACAACGTTAGCAGCGGGTCTCCCGAGGTCGACCACATCGGAAGTAGTTTCGTTGGTTCCGGCAGTTGTTTGGGAGGTAGAAGCGACCTTTTGGGGAACATATTTTGAGTTTTGTGCCATTGTTATAGGGGAAAGCTTGAAAGAGATAGCGAAAGGTTGAAACCTGGAAGCTCAGATGTGTTGGCTTGAGTGGATGATGAGTAAAAATTTCAAAGGAATCTCGAATAACGGAGGTAAAAACGCTAGAATATGAAAAAGAGTAGTAAAATTCTGAGGGTACGAGGGTAGACGGTTTGATTTAAAGTAAAAAATAAAAAATAGAGGGGTTGTTTATAGTGGCTCAGTGGCGTTTCGCCTCCAAGAATAGCCAACCGGTGGCTGATGTGCATTTAATGTCATTATGCCATGACTGACGGGATGTTTTAGGGTTTTTGTAGTTTATGTCGCGGCGTATTGAAGAAGGAATCGGGGTGCTCATATCGTTTCTCGTCAGCTTTCTCTGTGAGAAACGAGGGGACTATCTGTATACGGGTAAAAACAGAGCTCATGATATACTCCGGCCTCCAATAGGGTAAAACGAGCTCGAGATATGATTGCGAAGGATCGGAATCGAAGCGAAGGCCTCATCGAGTCAGAATCCGGGGGCATATTGTCTGCCTTTGAGAATATCGGAGTCATGATTCAAGAACGATCCAAATCCTGAAAGACTTAGGAGGGCATTGTCGGGCAATCAAGCACGATCAACAGAAGGCCGTAATATCTGCGACCGGCCGAATATCACGGCGTGGATCTCGGCACGTATCGATGAAGAACCGACAATCAGTTAAATCGAAGATTTTTTTACCTTTTATAGAGTTGTACTTAGAGTAGGATTCTCCTACTATATAAATTTAATTGTTATCCGATTTTAAAGGTAAACAATATTGTATTATACTGTATTATTTGATGAATACAACGTTTGGATAGATTATCTCGTTTGTCATTGTTTTATGATATCAAACACTAATAATATGAAGAATAAACTTACAATATTATTAAAAAAAAATAGGATAAGGAGTAAAATTATTATAGAAAAAACGTAGGGTAAATGTAGGGCCAGAAGTAGGTTCCCCCTCCGGCTATATATATAAAGAAGAAACTTTAAATTGATAAGTAACGGTTCCGAGGAGCTCGATAGACAGAAAGCTTCTAACGAAAACATCATACTATTCCGTCAATAGCATTTTAAAGATTTAGATACTTAACCGGCCAGAGATTCTGTAGTACATAATTTGTACGACCGCTAACATAATACATTTCTTCAAATTAATTTAAAATCTTGTTGTACTTCTGTTTGAGTTAACAACATACCCCACTAACAAATCTAAATCATACCAAACAAGACCACATCTATCTTTTGATTGGCGCTGCACAAATCTTCCTCTACTTTTNTATATATATATATATTGGTTATTATTTTGAGATTAATTATACCGTATTATTGTTCTTATCAAATTCTATAAGTTAGAATAAAACACAACTAAAGCCTTTCACATGGCCTACAATTAAATGGATTCTCTACTAATCTAAGATGATCTTTCTTAGACTTAGAGTTAATAAGACACAAATCATAAAAATACCAAAAACAATGAAAGGTTGTTAGGCTGTAATAGATTTTTTTTGGATTTTTTAGGACAAGATCTTTGGAGAATTATCACAAAATTAGTGCTCTTTTGCTTGTAAGAGTTATAAATGCTGCTTTTTGGAGTAAGGGTTAAGTGTTTGCTTCCACTCTTGGCTTTGTTACCCTTGACTTTAAGGAATAATGAGGTGACCTAACTTTTAGGTAATGGTAAACTTACATAATTAATTGCTGAAAGAAGCATCTCTAATATCTATTAGCTGCTAATCAGTCTCAAGTTTGCCTATATATATATTGGGAGATGAGTGCATGGGTTCATATCAAATATCATTTTCAATATAAAATATCAAGTCTTTTTTTAACAAAATTTAGCTGCCCAAATTCCTTACCAATGGAATCATCTAAAATTCAACAATTTCTAGAAGGCAAAACTATTTTTATTACGGGTGCCACTGGTTTCCTTGCAAAAAGTATTTCCTCTCTAGTTATTTCTCTAATTTGTTTAACAGTACCACTGTAATTTAATTCGTTATAGCATATTATTTACCAATTTTTTTAGGTTACCAATTACCTTTTAAATGCAGTTCTGGTGGAGAAGATACTTCGGGTTCAACCAAACGTGAAAAAATTATACCTTCTAGTAAGAGCTTCGGACACCAAATCAGCCCAGAAACGTTTTCATGAAGAGGTAAAACATAGTACTTTTTTTTTAAATATAAAAAAGTTGCTTGCTTAGTCCATTTTATTTGAACAAGACTATTAAGGGAAAATGTTGTACTACGACCTGCATGTGTCCTTTATTAAGTGTCAAAAGAATGTCTACTTGTTTGAAATGGAAGTTTGATTTTTTTTCTCTACATTCAAGCAATAATATTTTCGTTGTTTTGGTTTATTATCAAGGGACATTTTGTACGATATTTATTCAAAACACATCCTTTTTAATTTCTTCAAAAATTAAACTCTAATTTTTATTTTCTCGTATCAGTAACAATGCCAATCAAGATATAACCACGTTAGAGTTGCGAGAGTAATTTCACCGAAGAAGTTACCTAACCTAAATTATAAACTTTGGGAGGTGAGTTGCTCTAGTGGTGAGCACCCTTTACTTCCAACCAAGAGGTTGTGAGTTCGAGTCATCCTAAGAGCAAGGTGGGGAGTTCTTGGAGGAAGGGAGACGAGGGTCTATCGGAAACAGCTTCTCTACCACAGGGTAGGGGTAATGTCTGCGTACACACTACCATCCCCAAACCCCATTAATGGGATTATACTGGGTTGTTGTTGTTGGGAGGTGTCTGTACATATTTCTCTTTTTGCGACTTGTATTTAACGAATGTTAGGTATTTTCTTTTTATTTCTAGCAAAAATGGGTTAGGCTATTTGTTATTTATTGTAGTGCAACACAGTAATATTTTTGCAAGTTTTTACGCAGGTTATGCAGACTGAATTGTTTAAGGTTCTAACAGAAAAGATAGGTGCAAAAAACCTAAACTCTCTTGTAGAAGAGAAGGTATTTCCCGTTGCTGGTGATATTTCATTTGAGGATTTTGGAATTCAAAATTCGGAGATAAAAGATGAAATGTTCAAAGAAATCGACATAATCATAAACTCAGCTGCAACTACTAGATTTGATGAGAGGTATGATTGTAAAGATTAATAAAGTATTTTGATTCAAGACATTTGATTTAATCCCATATATGATATCGATAGCAATAGTTGTTTTTCAGTTTGTCCGTCCTTGATTATAAGTTTTCGTTGACCATTATTAGTTTCCTTTTTTTCCTTGTAGATATGATATTGCCATGAATATCAATGTCCTAGGTGCCGTCAACATCCTCAAGTTTGCTAAAAGATGTGAAAAAGTGAAGATTATTGTTCACGTATCCACTGGTCAGTTTTTAGATCTTAACTAACCATCCTTATGATTTTCATTTTTGGAAAAACAAACGTGTGATTCTTTTCTCATGTACTATATATTATAGTATTATTGTTATTGGTAAGGTTCTTAAAAATCTTGTCTTATATATTAATTAGTTAGTTCGATGTCTTTGTCACAGCTTATGTTTGTGGAGAAGGGGAAGGAGTTATACCAGAAAAATCATTCATTTTGGGTGAGACACTCAACAAAAACTCCTACTTAGACATTGATGTGGAGAGGAAGGTGATAGAAGACAAACTTAAGGAACTTGAAGCTCAAAATTTGACATCAAAGGAAGTGACGATAGCCATGAAAGACCTAGGCATTCAAAGGTTAGAAAAGGTCTAATTCTTTTAGTGTTACTGAGATAATTTATCTTTGTTATTGAACCGACGAGAGAGTCTATTGGAAACAGCCTTGCCGCCTGTTTAAGGTCAGGGGTAAGGTCTGCGTATACACTACACTCCCCAGATTTCACTTGTGAGATTACACTGATTTTTTTATTATTGTTGAACCAACAAAGTTTCCTGATTTAAGTGATCTAATTGCGTAAGCATCTTCTATATCGTCATTAATGCATAGAAATTACGTACAATCATACTTTCCTTACATTAACATGGCCTATATATATATATATATATATTGATTATTTAGGGCAACTTTGCATGGGTGGCCAAACACATATTCCTTCACAAAGGCAATGGGAGAGATGCTTTTAGGACATTTGAAAGAGAATTTGCAACTTGCTATAATACGTCCAACAATCATAACCAGCACTTACAAAGAGCCATTTCCAGGATGGATTGAAGGAGTCAAGTAAGTTTGTGAATTGATGTTCTTTTTTTTGCTTGTAAAGTTCATTGCATTTTTTCACTACCAAGAGTAATTCGACGGACTATATATTTTACCCATATCTCTTATATATTTACATATAACTTTTATTTTCAACTGCAGAACAGTGGATTCATTTATCGTGGCATATGGTAAAGGCATATTGAATTTCTGCTTTGGTGACCCAAACACAAAAATAGATGCGGTACGTATTAATTAACTATGCTGGTTCATTTTTCAAAAACTTTTTTTTTCATTATAAAGAAATTATTTATAACTTTTTTTTACCAACTACAAATTAATTAGGTCTGCCTAATTTTTTTAACCTTTTTAATTTATTTCAGATTCCAGGTGATATGGTGGTGAACTCCATACTAGCAGCAGTTATAGCACATGGAAATCAATATTATTCTTCTCAAGAATCAATATATCACATTTGTTCTTCTGGAAAAAATACCCTAAAATCTTGTGATATTCGATTGTTCCTATTTCATTACTTCACCAAAAATCCATGGATCAACAAAGATGGAAAAATCATCAAAGTGGGGATGCCTCGGCTATTTAGCAGCATGGATAGCTATCAAAAATACATTTCAACCTATTATTGGCCATTGTCAAAGGTTTTTTCCTGATCAATACAACATTTTATTTTCATCTTGATACAAATTTTAGTGGCGAAGTTACACATTTGGCCAGTCAGCCAAAAATAATTACATTCTCTAGCCAAATATACAAAAATATGTATATAATATGTATATCATACATTAATATATAAAAATATATATTTTCGACTATATTTTTGGGAGCGATTATTCTATACAGTTTTTCCTATTTTACTCTATGATATTATAGGCATGCATACGCTTGCAGATAATAAATCATCTCATATTTTTCGTTCACTTTGATGGAACTCCAACATAGTGTTAATGATTTTTGCTTGTGAAAGTACTTCGAAAAAAAAATCAAAATTTATCCGTTTACTTTTGACTATCATTTAGTATTACTTTATGCTATACTTCAAGTTGGACCTCTCTTAGATCAAGGGGGAAAACGAGACAATTTGCTGCCCACAAAATATAATGAAAGTTAACGTTAACATATTTTGTATAGTAAAGGAGTATTTTGCATATGAATTTATAGTTAGTACGTATTAGTAGAGTTATTATCAATGACTTAAGAAAATTATAATTTGTTATGGTTAAATCATTATATTACATGTGTGCCTAACACTCTTTAATGTTGATGTACACATTCAATGACAGTAACTTGTGGTTTAATATGTTTTTAGGTACTAGAGTTGGTAAATCTATTATCATGCCGGCGTTTTGACAAAACCTACAAAAATCTGAAAAGGAAGATTGATATGGCTATACGTCTAGCTGAACTCTACAAACCTTACTTGCTTTTCCACGGCAGGTATGTGAATGTTTATATTTTGTATCTTTCCCAATTTTGGCTTAAGCATCATTTAATTAACAAAAAGCAATTTAATTATTTCTAAACTTATATTTTTCAGTTTTGATGATGCTAATACCGAGAGGTTAAGAATGGCAATGAAAGAATGCAACATGGATGATGTGCTCAGCTTTGATCCAAGATGCATAAAATGGGAAGATTACTTTATGAATACTCACCTCCCTGGAGCTGTAAAGCGCATATTCTAGGAATAATATACAATATTCATGTGTTAAACTACTCGTCTTATGGTAACCTTCTCTTGAATTCTCAAAAAAAAACTTGTCACTCCTGCTGCATATGGCAAGATATGGGTGTTGTATGTGCAATAAATAATTTTTAAAATAGGAGTGTTTTTCGATTATTTTCATTCATGTAAAAGTTTGGCTTGTACACAATTAAATAGATCGATGTGTCTCTGTGTGTGTGATTACTGAACACTTATCTCCAACAATGTAATTTGTATATTACCTTATAGGAATGCTAAGCTAATTTGATCATGCGTGTTTATATGCCTTAAGATAAAAACAGAATACTTGGCATTTAGGGGCGGATATACAATATCAGTTATGGGAACAGTCGCGCAAACTCTTACCTAAAGTGACTGGATCGGTTTAGGGTTGGTTTGGGCTCTAAAATGGTATGGATTCTTAATTAGTACTTAAATTAAACATGCCACTTCATTAAATCTCACCAGAAAATATAAAATCCAGTAAAGATGACTATTGAAGCTAATTAGAAACTTTGAAATACAGAAAAGAAATAGATGATTATCCCAAGTTGAATGATCACCTAAGCAATCAACTCCTTAACAAAATTCTCGCGTCTATTAATAATAATTACTTAACAATGATAAATTCATATAGTTTAGTGTAGAAATCCTATGAAGAAAATATTTTCCTTCTAAAGTGTATAGTAGTAGCAGCGGTGTCATCCTCTTTTTTTTTTACCTAACCCCCAAAAATCTCTAAACCCTTTAGTGAAGTTGTAGAAAAATGAGAATAAGGGAAAGGCTTTTGAAAAAGGTAAAGTGACAAAATTGATAATTTTAATTTAGGTTTTTATAGTAAGAAGTCGCCACCTAACAGTAATTTTTTTATTTAGGCGTGATAGACCACCTATTTAATGAAAATAATAATTTCAAGGAAAATCCTTTTTGATATCATTTGACTATTACTAGGGAACTACCTATACACGGGTAAAATCGAGGTTAATGAGTACCCCGATTTCCCGATGAGGCAAACGAAGCAAGGACATGACTGCATGGAATCGAAATCGAAGCCAGGAGCCTCTCACATCTAAGCCCGAGAAAAACACCTGCCCTCGGAGCTATCGAGACCACGCCCCCGGGCCCGGTTCGAGTTCCAAGACCTCGAAGAGCATTACCAAGCGACCACGTACGATTAACAAAGGGTCGTGATATCCGTGTCCAACCGGATATCACGGGGTGAATCCCAGCCCGTATTGGCGGTAGATTAGTGATTAGCGAAAAGGAAGGTTTTACCTTTCTTAGAATTGTACTTAGGGTAAAAATCCCCTACTATATAAAGGAAAAGTTGATTATTCATTAGGGACACTGTAACATGCATATCAAGGCAATTTATATTTGTTTCCTCTGCTTCTAAAGATTATATTAAGTTCTTAGTTTTGTTCATAGCTTTTCATAAGTGTTTGGCTCCGAATCGAAGGCGGGCTAATTGTTTGGATCATAACCGTGCCCGAACTCGGTCTTACTACTGGTTTGATCATTTATTCCATCTTTAATTTGCTCATCTAACGCTATTAATCACTTGTATTGAATTAGTCCACATATCCTTAAAACTACATATAAATTCAATTGTTATCCATTATTAAGGGTAACCAGATTGGCGCCCACCGTGGTACTAAGGATAATAATGATAATTTGATACGAATTTCCATAACACTCTCTGTTTTACACATGTTCTTTGAGATTTCATTTCAGGTCAGCTTAAGAATGTCAAACTCTCAATTTGCTCACTTGAACGTTGATGCTGAGTCTAGCCACCATGGCAAAAGCAACAATATAGTTCCTAGCAATGAGGTGCCCCCTGTTGACCCCAACGGAGTCCCAGTTGCGGACCTAATCGATGCTAACTCACCTGTAGCCATCGATGCAAATCTGCCGATGACCCCGAGAACAACGTTCGCGAAGGGTCCCGATCAACAGCTCTAGGAAAGCACGACAGTGAAGGCGACGAGATCAATCTACGGGTGAATTTTGAAATATTACAAGCTCAACATGCGGCGATAGCCTAGCTGCAGAACCAAAGCCATGCCCCCAGCAGAGTTGAGCCCGAACTATCCCGGGAAAATACCTGAAAAAATGAACAAATCACGGAGAGGCTGGGTGAAGTTGAGCCCAGTACCAATCCCGAAATAATAAAGATGCTTGAGGAATTCACAAGGCAGGTGGATCAGGGGAGAAGATTGAAGAGAATGACAAAAAAACAGAGACCAATAACTCTAGAGTTGATTAAATCCCAGGAGCACCCCCGATATCGAAAGGCCTGAATTACAAGAAATTTGTCCAAAAGCCTTCCCCCCCGAGCGCGGCACCGAAGCTAATCCCGAAGAAGATCCGTATGCCCGAAATTTTGAAGTATAATGGAACCACGGATCCAAATGAATACGTGACCTCCTACACATGTGCCATCAAGGGAGACGACTTAGAAGATGATGAAATAGAGTCACTTTTGCTGAAAACGTTCGGCAAAACACTGTCAAAAGGAGCAATGATATGGTATCACAACTTACCCCCTAATTCTATTGATCTATTTGCTATGCTTGCGGATGCCTTTGTAAAAGCGCAAGCCAGGGTCATCAAGGTCGAGACCAGAAAATCAGACCTTTTCAAAGTAAAACAAAGAGATAACGAATTGCTCAGGGAATTCGTGTCGAGGTTTCAAATAGAACGAATAGACCTGCTGATAAGTGAAGATTTTGACTGCTTATTAGCACCTTTTAGCTTTGATTTAGTCCAAAAATATTGAATTGTATTCCCGAAACTAATGAAAGTGTACAAATTGCAGGAATGCTGGAGGTTTGGTCTATCAAGATGAAATCCAACTCAAAAAGGAGTGTTCCGAAAGACAAGGCAATAAAGGACGCAGAAGTACAAATGTGCGATCCGCAGAAGGAATTTTGCGGCCACAGAAAAAATTACGGACCGCAAAATTCCATTTGCGGCCGCAAACTAAGTAGCAAAATTCATCAGAATTTTTAGCAATGTGTTGACCGCTTATGAATTGTGCGGCCGCAGGACCAGGCTTTTACTGACAAAGATGCAAAGTGCAGAGAATATGGAAGAAGAACAAATCCTGAAGCCTTTGTGAAGTGCGGACAACACAAGAATTGTGCGGCCGAAGAAGTTTGCCTCGCGGCTGCAGTCCACAAATGTGCGGCCGCAGAAACCTCCTTCCTGCCAACTGAAGAAATTTGCGGACCACACACGCAATTGTGCGGCCGTAGAACCTTAAGGGGCATTTTTGTGCAAGATTTTTGGCCCTGTATAAATAGACGAGTTTCACAAAATTAGGTCACTAAAAGCTGCTATAGCCGTTTCTTTTAACTACTTTAGGAAGTTTTACATTATTTTAGGGTATTAACATTAGATTTTATCATTTTAATCTTTCATTATGGGTTTAATTAACAATTCTTCTTTATTCTCTTCAATACTCATTATGAGTAGCCAGATTTTTACTAGGGTTGTGACCCAACCCTTGTGTGTAACCCTTATGGATAATTATTTAGTGCTTGTTTGTGATTGGGTGTTGATTATTTAGCTTAGTTGATGCTTCAATTTTAGAATTAATGGTTGCAAATATTGTGTCACGACTCTACATTTCCCTCCTTCGGACCGTGATGATGCCTAACATTCCACTTGCTAGGGAAGCCAATGTTAGAATAATATTATCCATTTTTAAATTTTTTTTAAATTTGTTAATAAAAAAGAACAAATACGGAAGTAAAGTCTAAAATATAGTGAATAATCCATAAAAATAATGCTGTCTAAATACCATCACAGAATTGGTGTCACAAGTGTACGAGCTTCTAGAATAATACAAATAAGGGTCTAAATAAGATAAAGCTGTCTGAAAATAAACACACAGCTAAAGTAAAGTAGATGGGGACTTCAGAAACTGCGGACGCCATGCGGTTATACCTCAAGTCTCCTCTAATAGCTGAAATCCGAGTAAGTCTATGGTACGACGCTGGGACTAACTCCAAAATCTACACAAGAAGTGCAGAGTGTAGTATCAGTACAACCGACCCCATGTACTGGTAAGTGCTGAGCCTAACCTCGACGAAGTAGTGACGAGGCTAAGGCGGGTCACTTATATTAACCTGTACGCAATATTAGTAACAACAACAAATAATAGAAATAAATCAGGCAACTCATTTATAATAATTGAAGCCAACCCAGCAATCATAACCAATTATCATTTACATCAATTTCCGTTGCAGCGTGCAACCTGCTCTCACAATATATTCATTTTCAATCCTCTCATATAATTAATTTTCATCAAGTATATATATTGACTTTTAAATAAATCTATTGCGGCGTGCAATCCGATTCCCCAAATATTGACTTTTAATAAGTCCGTTGTATATTTATTTCAATCAAGTATATATAGACTTTTTAATAAGTCTGTTTCAGCGTGCAATCCGATCCCCCAATATTGACTTTTAATAAGTCCGTTGTATATTTATTTCAATCAAGTATATATAGACTTTTTAATAAGTCTGTTGCGACGTGCAATCCGATCCCCCAATATTGACTTTTAATAAGTCCGTTGTATATTTGTTTCAATCAAGTATATATAGACTTTTTAATAAGTCTGTTGCGGCATGTAATCCGATCCCCTAATATTGACTTTTAATAAGTCCGTTGCGGCGTGCAACCGATCCTCCAATATATCCATTTCAATCAATTCTTATAGAAGAAATTTTTCCAATAAATACAGCAATTAATATAAAATTATAAGACAACAAGCATACAATAATTATGATTTAATTATGAAACAAACAATGACAAATAGCAAATTATTATGGAAATCAGGGAAAAAATAGGCAGTTTAATATTTAATATGCTAAATATCAAATAACAATTAAAACACATAATTCAAATAGCATGTAACAATTAAGGCAGGAATTCAAGAATTAATATTTGGCAAAGAATAGGAGAGAAATAATTATTATAATAATTAATTTATAATTTAAAATAATTTATGATTTTTCAAGTAAGCAGGCAAACAATTAATTTGACGACGTATAGACACTCGTCATCCCGCCTATACGTCGTTCACATGCATTTCACATAACAAATAATTTAAGGGTTCTATTCTCTCAAGTCAAGGTTAACCACGACACTTACCTCGCTTTGTAAATTCAAATCAATTATTCAACCACAACTTTCCCT